CCCCCCCCCCCCCCCCCCCCCCCCCCCCCCCCCCCCCACTCCGCCAACCGGTACATCCCAACAGGCTAGCATACGCATAGAGACTCATTCTAAACACTAACTAACAAACTGAAGGACATGTATCCTAGACACTCAGCTCAACCACAGGGGCCCCAAGCATACACACAAACACACAACGCGGCGCTCGAGGGGTCCCCAAAGCGTAATGTATACGGCTCAATGGGCCTTTAGAGCGTAAATGCGGCACCACTCTAGCGGCACCAAACGGACAGGCACAGGCGGCGCTCTGGGGGCATGCAATCACAAGAACCGCAAGGGACTGCTGGTGTCCCCAAAGGCATTCCTTCATTACCTTGGTCCATAACAACAGGCCCCAGGTACACCACCATAGGGTCGTGGGGGCCGCTGACGGCTACACAAACACAAGGAGCTCCCAACCTCACCAACGCAACCTGAGCTCCTGCGCCTCCCATGAACAACAAGAATCTGTGGGGCTACTTATTTATCAATCACAGTGCAGGGCCACTTGCTGAGCCCCCCATAGCCCAGCAGCAGGGGGCCCGCGGGTCCAGCAGCTGGCCCAGGGGCCCCGCAGTGACTGTTTGACGGGTGAAGAGGGTAAGTGCGTTGCATGCTAGAGGTCAGTGAGCAGGGACCGTCTTTTGCTCCTCCCCATCAGCCGCTGCCCTCCAACCCCCCTTCGCTGCAGCCTCTGCCTCCAGCGCCGCCCACCGTTGGGCCCTCTCCTCTTCCTGCTCCTTCCGCCTGCAGCAGCAACAGCAACATTAGAAACAGCAGCGACGAGAGCACCTACAACACCCTTTTAAATGTGCAGCAAGAATAGCAGCAGCAGAGGAAGAGGCGGTGCCCCCTGGCATCTGCTGCTTTAAGCTGCAATGAGGGGGCCAGTGCTACAGCTTCCACCCCTCCCAAATGCATTGAGACGCCGACATACCGTTTCTCTTCAGCAACGAATCTGCTGCTGCACTCATCGAAAAGGGCTGTATCCGCTTGGGCCAGCAGCTTGGATACGTTGTAAGTCAGAGTGTGCACCGTCACGCTCCAGTGCTGCTGCGAGCTACGAAACAAGGCCCCTATAATGATGGGAAAGAGCTCCTGCAGCAGCAGCAACAACAACCAGCGCAGCATGGGGAAAGCGGGAGCAAAGACGCCGTTCTCCTACCAATGCTTCCCCCTTTATATTTGCGGCCCCTGCCTCCTTCCCCACTCCATTTTCTCTGCTTTGTTTGTGACCTTATCTTTTCCTGTCATCGCTGCAGTGCACAGCAGCAGCTGCAGTAGCTACGGCACGGCCAGGTGCTGCGTCTGTCTCCTTCGTAGATTCCTGTCCCATAGGGTTGTGTCTTGCTATTGTGAGAGGAATAGGGTTTCCTATTGATTACTAGCGTGTCCTAGGGTCTGTTTTTAGAGATCCTAGCGATGCAGGCCTTACCGGCCTGTTGAGGTTTATCAGCCGAACGATCTTCTCGTTGTTCCACAAGAAGAGAACTCGCTCCGCCACCAAAAAGTTCGGCGACTGAATGCACTCAGCGAGGCGCGAAAACAGAGGCAACATCACCTCCTGAAACTCTGGCAGCTGCGTCTCCTGCAACACCTGATGAAACAATGAACAGAGTAGCGGCAGCAAGGGCCCACAAGAACTAATACATAAATAAATAAAATAGAAATGAACGAGCAACGTTATTCCTAATGAGGGCGAGCCACTGAAGACAAACCAAAGGAAATATTATAACGAAAACAGAAGGGAAAATGAAAGAGAATATCTATGAAGTCCTCAGTGGAAATGAACCAAAGAAAACAAGTGGATGAAACAATCGAATGAAGCTGCTAATTAAAACACCTCAATGGGAACAAATGAACTCCTTAAAGAAAACAACTCAATGAAAATAAATTAGTGAAGCTTCCTCATCAGTATCTCACGTGCTCCAATTCATTGAGAAACAACACCACTTTGGGGGCGTTACACGCGGGCCAGAACCGGACCATCCCCAGTATTATCGGCACCGCCACGCGGCTCTCCTTCGCTACGTACCTGAGACGCAACAAACCCTAAACCCATAGCCCTTAACCCTTAACCCTACAAACAGCCGAAGGCCCGCCTGTCCACTAGGGGTGTAGTGCTGGGGCACAATCCAGACACCTGTAGATAGAAAGGTTGCTGATGAGACAAACAAAAACACAACACTGAAGAAAAGCAGCCAAAGAGATATAAAAGTATAAACCACATGAAGGACGAAAGGGAGAAAGGCAGAGAAGGCCAGACACCTAGTGCGTTCATATCACGTAAGAGGCTCTAATTCAGAGCCTCCCCCTCCAATGCCTGTGCTCTCTTGTTACATGGAAATCGATACAACAACAGAAGAAACAGGCGCAAGGCAAGAGGGAGCCAGTTCATCTGCATGCGCCCCCAGCGGGAACGCAGTTTGTATCCACAAATACAAATTTTTGTGTTTATAGGTTAGGAACAGCAAGCGTGTGTGCAGCACCAGTCTCGCTGCTGCTGCACTGCAGCCACAACAGCTTGTAGACTGCTCTTGCTGCTGCACCGCCGAACAATGCTGTGACATGGTGCGCCGGCGTACTGTTCCATGCAATACGTGAGTTGTTTGTGGAAAGCAGCAAGAGACCTCGCCTTGTGCAGGGGCAGCAATACCCGCTCCAAAAACAATTTGTGCTCCGCTTTCAAGGGGACAGCAAAACCGTTAATGACGCTGCAGTAACAAAAACAAAAAACAAAAAGTCCTCCACTTGAGAAAGAAACCGGGCGCATCTATACCACGCACGTATGCTGAATTCTGTGCGCACATCTGCACATTCCAGAGATAAAATATAAATATAAATATATATATATATATATATATATGTACACATATATATATGTATATGGAAGCGTCGAAGCAGGTCCTGACAGTTGCGCTTCAGCTTGCGGGTTGGTTGCTACTGCAAGCGTCTACATTTTACATAAATATGCATATATAAAAAATACTGTATATATTTTGTATACATATTGGGAAGCCGACATATATATATATATATATATATATATGCTGAGTGTTTAAGGGTGCAGCCAGAAGTGCTGCTGCACTGAAACCAGCGGCACCTGCCGAGGATTTCGAGGAGTTCTGAAATGCCGTTGGGGGATTCTTGTTCGTTCAGAAAGCGGTGGAAAACCTGTTGAATGCTCTTGCGCACGAAAAACCTGCAAAGATACCCAAAAAGAGTCGCTCACATATAGATGGCAAGCAAACTAACAAGCAAACATATAGGCAAGCAAGCAAAAGCAGACCGACCAGCTAGCAAGCAAGCAAACATGTTAAACAAACCAGCGCAAAACACACAACACAAAACACAACGAACAAACAAGCAAACGGCACCAGCAAACAAACAGGCAACAAACAAACAGCAAGCAAGCAAAACGACAAACAAAACACAAGAACAAAAAAGCGGAGGAGCCGAGAGGACACCGGCAGTCCAAGCGACAGCAGGACAGCCTCAAAAGAAAAAGCAAATGCACATTGTGTAGATACACTGCAACAGAAAATAAAGCTCCTTTCGTCGTGTCGATACACTGCTACAAGTTAGGCGGACCTCAACGCCATTATCTTTCCATATATCCTGTGGAGAATTGTCTTTAAGTAGTCCCTTTCGCGAGGGTCTTCTGAGCTAAACAGCTCCAGGAACTGCGGCAACAGACCAACAGAGAAACAGTCCGCAGCAAAAAATACAGGAACAAAGGAATAATCAACTGGATAAACACGACAGAACCAATGCGAATGCAGGTTAACAAAGGTGCAAAGGAAAGAGATTACAGCAGAGACAGCGGCGCCCCGCAACCGAGAAAAAGTGCGGTCAATCAAGCAACTAGCCACCAACAAGGGAAAAAGATAAGAAAAACAGGCACATGCAGACACAGAGCACAGAAGGCAGGCGAGACACAGGCAAAGGGGGCGCTGTGAATAAACCGAGGGAAAGGAGAGGACAAACAGAAGAAACAACAGCAAGAGCAGCACAAGCAGCAAGCAAACCAGCAGCAGCGCAAGCAGCAGTTCTCAAAAGAGGCGAGCTTGATGCATGCTTGCTGGAATGGTGTCCCTTGAAGTGTTGAGGCACGTTGGTTTGTTTGTGGATCGTTTATATTCTTCGGCTTTGGGGATTACGGCTTAGGGCTACGGCGGTGGTGGCTGACCTTGAGCACGAACTGGTGGTCAATGAATTTCTTAGCGAGTTTGGCGCTAACGTCATTCGAAACGATGAACCTGAGAAAGAATTCGTAGACGATTTGAATGTGGGGCCAGGCGCTATCCAGCTGCGGCTCCTCCTCCTCCGCCTCCAGCAGCGCAGCGCCCCGGTGCTGCGATGGCGGCAGCGGCCGAAAGATATTCGCAGACACCATATCCATCACGTCCTGCAGAACCTGCTCCGAGAAACAGTGCCGAGTGCTGTTCACATACCTGCAGCATCACACGTGCAGCCACCAGCAGCAGCAGCAGAAGTAGCAGCACCACCACGCGATACGGCAGCAGCGCCACCAACACCAGTACAAGCGAACAACAACCGCAGAACAGAGCCAACAAAGCCAAACCAGAACACAGCTACAGCAGCAGCAGCACCACCAGAAGCAACAGCATAAAACGGCGCATAGCTACGGACTCGACGATCTCCACGAGCGCCCGCTTCTTCAGGTCTTTGTCCCGCGTGAAATCTGGCGACTCGAAGTCGTACACAATGCAACAGGCCTGCAGCAGTGCACGCAAAACGCATGCAAAACTCAGGCATCATAGAGCATATTTGCATGCAAAGAGCAGCCGCAAACATCCTAACTTCACGCGCACAGAATGCAAGCCAGATGCAGCATACACCACAACGCCTACAAAAGCCCTCCAGCTTGCAAAAAGCATTCAACAAGAGACTTTAATACAACAAAGTGCATGCAGCGTACACTGCAAATGAGTGCAAAATGCATGTAGCCAAAAAAGAAACGCATGCAGTGAACGGTTGCTCCCCGCGACAGCATTTGTTGAAACTCAGTAAGAGCGGACAGAAGACAAGCATGAAAACGAGAAACAACAGAGGAGAGCCAGAGACAAAAAAAGAAACGGCGATGGAGAGGAGGAAACCACAAAGAAAAAGACCAAAGGGGAAAATAACGACGAAGACAAGGCAAAGATGCAGAAACATGCAACAGGGAAGGAGCAACAACGACGGAGAAAAGGAAAGTAGGGAAGAGAATGAAATGCGGAAGAGACAGAGGGGGCCGGCAGCAGGCGACTGAAGACGGCGAGAGACGAAGAGAGAGGATCAAACAGAAAGACACGGAGACAAAAAATAAGACACGACACAGACGAAAGGAAGCCAGAAGCAGAATGGGACAGAAGGGGGGCGCAACCGTAGGAGACAGCGGAAGACCAAACGAAACAGCAAGAGGCGCAGAGGCCCCATAGGAGACAGCAATAAATAGCAAGAAAGGAGGTGACAGCAGCCCCAAACCACAGCAGGAAACAGCAGCAGCAGCACGCAGGAGACGCAGCAGACACCAGGAGACACAGGGGAGAGAAGTAAACGCAGTTGAGAATATGAATCGGACTGCAGGAAGCATTCGGAAGTGCCTGCAGCCTACAGCGAGTTTCTTTCTGAAGAGTTCAGGCCTATCCGCAACAGGTGCCTCCATGAGGGGCAGCAAATCAGCAGGGAAGGGACAGGGAGCCCGGGCCTGCGGTGGCCGCCCCAACAGCAGCGCGCGCGTTGAGGCGCTGCGGCGGTCTGCTGCGCAGCTGTTCGGACACCCCACAGCCACATCAGCATACGGGAAACATAATCACCACGAAAGCCAAGGCAGAAATCTAAAGACATGCAAGAAAAACACCAACTGAAACGGAGACGCATAGAGACAGAAACAGAAAGAAAGAGACGCGCAGCGACAGAAAGATCGAGAGCGAGGCATACGAAGGGATAGGTGCGAAGGCAAGGACAGGGAAAGAGAAAGACAGAGACAAAGATAAGTAGAGACAAAAAAGGACAGCGACAGAAACACACCAGGAGACATGCCCGTCTTGATTCCTGAGGCTGTCTGCCTGAACGAGACGCTCTCTGGTGCAGCTCCTCCCGGAGGCACTAAAGGCACCACTCGGTGCAGTAGCCTTCTCTGCTGCAGCAGCAGCAGCGGCAGCACCAGCCGCAGCTGCTGTCCCCGCTGCCGCCTCCTGCTGCTGCCCCGGATCTGAAGCCTGCTGCTGCTCCTGCTGCTCGTGCTGTTGTTGTTGTTGCTGCTGCTTGTCAGACTGCTGCGAACTGCTGCGCGAAAATCCGTCCCGCGACGATATGCGACGTCGCATAGACTGGAAGAGCCTGCACCAGCAGTAGCAACAGCAGCAGCAGCTCCAGCAGCAGTAATGCGATGTGCAGAAGAACCACGAACACAGGGCAGCAGGCCCTCCGAAACTGAGCCAAGTACTGACAGCCGGCTGCTGAAGGCCCGAAACTGGTGGCAACAGCAGCAGCAACGGCACAGCAGCAGTCAGCGAAGCTTCTTAACGAGAAAACGCACTTCATCTTCAACATTCGGAGGCAGCCGGGGAGACGCGAGGAAGTGACTCGAGTAGCAGCGCCCAAATCGGCTGCTGACGTGTCCAGGGTCCGCATGCAGCAGCAACAGCAACAGCAGCAACAGCAGCAACGGCAGTGGCAGCAGCAGCAGCGACGACACGAACGTCCGTCGCGCCGCTTCCTCTTCTTCTGCAGCAACAAACGCGCCGAAGACAAAACAAGGGCGGCAATTTCGGTTGTACGTACACCCCGTTCACTGCTGCAGAATGCCCTATCAGCAGCAAACTGCTGCAGTGTCTTGGCAGCTCCGCTGCGCCATCTGAACTTCTCTGCAGCATATTCTCTCTCTCGCGCGTGCGCGCCGCGGCATTTTCTTTGTTGCTGCTGTACGCTGTCTACCTGTCTTTGTCTCTTGTTGGCAAAAGGCAGAAAACTCGTAACAGGGACAGCAGGAGAGCAGCTACCACAGACCCTAAACCCTAAACCCTCAGCACTAACAACATTACGAACTCGAACCCCGGACCCTCAGGAATACACCCGCAGCAGACACCTACTGGCTAGTTGCCACCAAAGGTGCAGCGCACAGAGCGCCAAGCTCAACTACTGTTGCTGCTGCAGGTGCTGGTGCTGCAGCTGACGCCGCCACTCCTGCTGCTGTGGCGGCTGCTGTTTGTGAAACTCCTGCAATTTCTGCCTCCTGGGCTGCCGTCAGTGGCTCTGATGGAGCCGCCTTCCTCTCTTCAGGTAGCGTGTTTTGTGCTTGTGCTGTGGCTATTGCTGCAGAAGTGGTGGTGATGGCGGCGGCGTCTACCGGCTGGTCAGCGTGATGTTTCTGCGCCTGTAGCGTCTCCTGTTGCTGCTGTTGTCGTTGCTTCTCCTGTTGCTGTTGTTGTTTCCGCTGCTGCAGGCGAACAGAACGACAGCAAGCGTGGGCTGGAGGTGCTCGCGGGGCAGAGAGCCTGGAAAATCGCTGTGGGGAAGCCCTTCCAGTGAGGCAGCAGCAGCAGCAGCTGCTGCTGCTGCTGCTCTTGCTGCTCTTACTGCTGCTGCTGCTGCCGCAGTTCCGGCTGTACAGCCTCAGCAGTTACGCTGCCGTGCTGTGTTAGGGAGACGGGCTGAGGACCCCTCGGCGCAAAGGGGGCCCTCGGAGGAGGCCCTGAAGCATGCAAGGCTGGCGCATTATAAGGGCTGCGTGTGTCCCAGCAGCAGCAGCAAGCAGCAGCTCCTCGCGGCGAACTGCAGGAACAAGAGCAGCAGCAAGAGCAGCAGCAGCACCCGCACTACTACCAGGGCGTGCCTCTTCTTCTGCCCTGCTTCTGAGTCCTGAAAAAATGACTATAAATTCGAAAGTGTTTTTATTAAACAAATTTAAATGAGTTAAACCGCAAGAAGGACCCAACGACTCAGGACAGACAGACAGCCCCTCGGGCCCCGGCCGCGCTCCCTTCTCCCCTCCCTTCAAGGCGTGCAACGGACGATGCCGATTTTTAGATATTAATAATAATAAATGAATACAGAAAAAGCAGTAAAAACTGTCATCATGAGCTCACCATACACCGCAAGACTACGAAGCAGCAACGGCAGAGCGCCTGCATGCGCCCTTGGCTGGCAGCTCTCCTCTCCCTGTAAGTAGACGAAAAATATTAGAATCTAGGGGATATTCAGCTTTTCTTTTAACTATATGTCGTCGTATTTAGTGTGATTTTTCTGCTGAACCTCCTAACTACTCTATACGCCGCATCTCTATCACTGCGGCGGGGCGCTCAGTGGTCGCTCTTCCTCCTTCTTCGGTTCACCCTCGTCTGTTCTCAACATTTTCACGCAAATCATTAAACGGCTCCCCTGAGGAGATACTGCGGATAAGTCTTGCTGTCTAGAGAATAGCAGTGGGAGCTGCTGTGGCTGCTGCTATTCTCTGCTGCTGAGCAGCAGCAGCTGCTGCTGCAGTCACAGCGCGTCCCAGCCCAGGTGTGCGTACCGAAGAGACGCGAATCCTTCTCTGCTTACCTCTTTGAACCCTTACCCTTGGCAGAACACTTAGACCCTTAAATTCGAAACCTTTTGTAGTGGTGTCTGCTTAGAACCCCAAAGACACACCCGAGTCTCCTTCTTCAGGCAGTGCTCGCACTGTCTTTGGCATTTCCTCTTCCTCATTTTGCCTCTGGCAGATAAACAATTAAAGTTTGCCTCTACCAGCGGAGCAGTTCGTCAGCTGCAGCGAGATAGTGAAGCCAGTGTAGGCGACTTGCGTACAGAAAAAAGTTTACTGCGCGTGGCAATTTGCACATTAGCCCCAAGGATTTTCAGAGGAGATAGATAGCCTAATGAAACTGTAGGAGAAGCCATTGACAAAGAAACGGGGGCTGCACGCATGCGCCCGCTGCAGTAGCTGCAAGGGGGTGCTGTAGCAGGCGCTTCTGCCGCTGCTGAGTGTGAGGGCCTGCAGCAGCAGCTGCTGCTGCTGCAGGCCCTCACACTTTCCCGCCCTGCCTTTGCTGCAACACAGCCGCCCTGTGTCTTTTGTGGTGCCGTTGAGCGCTGTCTGTAGCGAGAAGCCACGCTATAGTGCTGACTTGGTCTCTCACCTTGCAGCTAGCTAACGGTTAGCTAGCCAACGACCTGTTAGCTAGCCACTCAAAAATTGGCTAGCTTCAGCGCGGCATTGATAAGCCATGCATACTGCGGGACTCCGTGCAAAGCAGGAAGGCCAGAAAGCCTGAGACTTCCAAATGAATGCACATACATATATGCACCTAGATAAATATGTATTAAAAAAATATATACATATATATGTATATATACATATGCATGGATCCAGCTGCCACAGTTTCCACATATATGTGTATGCATGCATATATGTCTCTCCGTCTCTATTTTTCGCTGTCTCCCCGTCTGTCTGCCCGTTTGTGCTGGTTGCGCTGTCTGGGCGGTTCAGTCTCTCTTCTCTCTGTCTGTCTGTCTATCTGTCGGCGTGTCTGTCCGCTTTTTCGCCAGCAGCTCGTCTCGATCATCCACCCCCATCGATATTAACATAAAACGGAGAGAGCCCGACCTCCTCATGCGGTTTCCATTCTACGTACACCTCACACCGGTGTGGTATATACCTGCCGATGCAAAAAAACTGGGCTGTACAGCGGCCACCTCTCAGTCGAGCCCTCTGTCATTTCCCTTCAGGCTAAATTTGAAGCCTCTCCTCCTCCCCCTGCTCCTGCCACGGGGTGTACAGGCAGTGCTTTTGCCACCTGCAGCAGTTGCTGTCGGTTCCGCCCGTCTTGCGCAAACGTGCGCAACTCCTCCAGCAACGCCGGCTCAATACCACCAACCCAATCAGTGTCCAAACCCGGAGCGACCCCCATGCCTTCCGGGGGCCCCCCCGTGCCTTCCTGGGGGACTGAAAGGCCCTCATGAGTGACAGTTCCGCCCTGAGGCTCGTCAACTGGCTGCGGCTCTGCATTGTTTTTGATTTCTGCGTGGTTCGTTGCGGTTTTAACATACTGTGCAGCTGTATGTGATGGCTCGTGGATTCGCTGGGCTTGACCTTGTGGGTTTGTGTTGATTGGGTTCCCCTGCTCTTGAGCTTTGCGTGGGGTTTGGTTGGGGGGGCCTCGAAGGCTGTCTAAGATTGCAAGAAAGCCGCTGAGGGTTTTCGCCTGCTGCGCCACCGCTGCAGCTGCTTTCTTTCCCATGCCTGGGACCCCCAGGGCAAAGAGCAGCTGCTGCAGCAGCACGCCTTTGGTGCGCACTTGTTCAATCTCTTGAAACAACGCGTCACGAGCCTGGGGGCCCCACCCCGGCCAGTCCGCCAGCCCCAGCTCCCCGGCTGCCACCCGCTGCCGGTCCTGCTCCTCCAAGTAGAAGGCGTCGCTAGGGGCCCCCAAACACCCTCGAGCAATCAACACTTCCAACGCACGGGGCCCCAGCCCAGACACCGCAACGCCCTCACGAGAAAAAAAACGAAGCAGACGCTGCAAACGCTGAGCGCCGCAAGCCCACCCTCCAGGACACCACAGCACTCCCTGAAATGGAGTCTGCTGCTGCTCCTGTTGCTGCTCAGCCGACTCCCTGCCACAGGTAGCAGCAGCAGCAGGAGTTGCGGATGCATCTCCTTCTGTTGTTCCGGGAGCTGATCGTTGATGCTTCGGGTTTCGGGTTTTTTTGTCAGTGGGCATTGGCCGTTCCATGAGGGTTCTGCCGCAAGAGGGACAGCAGGTTGGGAGGGAGACAGGCGCTGTCTCCCTGGTTCTGGCTTGCCTATCTACACCTGCAATCTGCGGCACCGACTCCCCCTTCAGCTGTACGTACACCCGGTCCCCCACACGGACGTCCTTGCGTCGCAGCTCCTGCGGAGAGTGCAAAGAAGCTCGCGAGAGAGAGACGCCTCCAAGTAGCACCGGCTGCAGCAGCGCCACAGGTGTACATACACCTGAAGACCCCACAGTCCACTCCACCCCCAACACCGTCGTCGTTGATGCTGCTGCTGCAAACTTCAAAGCAAATGCCCAACGAGGTGCCCTCGAGGTGCTGCCTAGCTGCTGTTGTAGATGCAGCACATTCAATTTATACACAACACCATCGCAAGGGATATCTTCCAGCGGCACAGGATGTCTACATCCCCTCGGCCCCTTTGCTGCAACTGCACCAACAGCAGCTGCAGCACCGGCTGTTGCGTCGCCACGACTAGGCGCTCCTGCGACAGCCGCAGCACAAGGAGCCGCAGCACGTGCAGCGCCCGCTGCTGCATTTGCTGCTGCCTCTGCTGAACCTCCACGCAGGATGCCCTGCAACTGGGAGACGTACACCGCGTGGGCCCGGCTTTGCTCCTGAAAGGCCCTCAGAGCCTCCTGATAGCTGTTCACCAAAAGAGTGTGCGGAAGTGGGACGTCGAAGCCCCACTGCTGCAGCCTCTGCAGCAACTCTAGCTGCGTAGACACCCCAGCAGCAGCAGCACCCACCGCAGCAGCAGCAGCCGCAGCAGCAGCACCTGCTGTTACGCGAATGGTTCTGCTCTCCTCCTTCCGACTCATGGGGTGTACAGATACCGCACGGCACGGGGCCCCCACAAGCCCGTAGGCGCAAAAGCGGACGGCATCTCCATCTTCCTCGCCGGCTATCTCAAGACGGCGCAGCAGCCCTACGACGGCATGTCTGCAACATCAGCAGCAACAGCAGCAGCACAAGGAGCTTCCCCCTCTCTCTTACATGCAACTTATGCAACTGCAAGTCGGTATGGAGGCCTCAGCCCCTCCTCCTCTGCCCTGGCTCTGTCTGTCTCTTTGCTTCTCGTGTCTATCTGCGTTTATTGTTGCAATGCTTTTGCTGTTTGTCTCCTGTGTCTGTTTGTCTGTATTTATTGGTGCGCCTGCGCTGCTCTTTGTATCTTTGTGCCTTCTGTCTGTCTGTGTTTACTGCTGTACTGCTGCTGCTGTTTGTCTCTTTGTGTCTCTTGTCTAGTTATGTCTGCTGCTTCGTCGCGCATCCGGTCCGTGAGGAACCGCATTTGGGGTGTCTGTACACCTGGAAGACGCAAATGGCTTCAATGCCTTCGCTTTTCTGTCTCGATTTAGACGCAAGAGAGAAGACAAGCTCACGAACGCCTCCCCCCTCACCTCCAGCCGCTGCGGGGAGGCTATGAACCCATCCAGCACCCTCGACGCTGCTGTGCCAGCTGCTGCTCCTTCTGTTGCCTCTGTTGCTGTTGCACGTGCTGCTGCTGCTGCTGCTGCGCTCGCTACTGCTGCTGCTGGTGAGACTTCTATCTCAAGGGGCAGAGATCCTCTCCTCCCCAACTGCAGTGCCTTCGCCGTTATATCTTCACCCTGTCTCCCGTCGCCTCGCGTCAAGGCCCTCACCAAGCGGTATCGAGCCACAACTCTGCTCCTGTTGCTGTCGCTGCTGCTGCTGTCGGCATTGCTGCTGCTGCCGCTGTTGCTGCTGCTGCTGGTGCTGCCGCCAATAAGTTCGTATGTAAGGGAAACGCTCTGCCCATCGATTTTAGGCTCCATCAGCAGCGCTGCAGCAAACGCATCCGCTGATGTCTCCATTGCTGCTGGTGTGCTGTCTGATTCGCCGGAGACTCGAGCAGCAGCAGCACCAGCTGCTGCTGCTGCTGCAGCATCAGCCTGTGTAGTGTCTTCTCGCCGGCGTCTTCGGCCCGTAGAGGTCTTGGGCCCAGGCTGCAGCGCCTTAATAACGAACCTAAAGGCAGAGTAGCAACAGCAGGACCAGCAGCACCGATAAGCGCAGCAGCAAATAGACAACAGAAAGTGGAGTCTGGCTGCTCAGATGAAGTTCGTCCACATGCCTATTGGGGACGTCGACGATTAGCAAGAACAGCACTCAACCCTACCTTCTCAAACCCTAAACGCTACACCATAAACCCTAATCCCCGAGCCCTAAACCTATGATAAGCAGCTACCTGTCGAGCTTGCGGAAGAGGCTATTGGCCTCTGCAGGCGAATGGACGCTTTCTAAGGAGAGCACTGGAGAGATGTGTTCACAGGCTGCTGCTGCTGCTGCTGGTTGTGGTGCTGCTCCCGCTACAAGCCCCGCGCCGATGCGCTGCAGCGGGCTGTCTGGGCGACGCAGTTGCGGATGTTTCTGCAGCGGACGCAAAGCGGCAGCAGCACGCACGCAACGCAAATGTAGGAGGAGGGCCATGAGCTGCAGCAGCCCGCAGTGCAGCAGCAGCACGGTCTGGAGCTGTTGCTGCTGTAAGGGCAGCAGTCTTGGTGCTAGAGGCTTCCCTAGGCCACTTCTCCTGCCCACGCCCTCTCCGCAAACAGCAGCAGCAGCAGCACCCGTGCCATCCTGTTGGTGCTGCTGGTGCTGCTGGTGCTGCTAGTGCTACTGGTGAGGGTGCTAGTGCTGGGCTAGCTGTTGCTGGTGCTCCTGTTGCTGCTGCACGTGCTGCTGCTGCTGTATCTTCTGCAGCTGCTGCAACTGCTAACCTGTTCCAGCCTCTTCAGCTGAAGCCACAAGGCATCAAACTCCTCATCTGAGGCGAGCGGCTCCTCCCCAGAATAATAGGCTCGGCTCAAGTTGGTTAGTCTGCTGCACAGCGACGCGTGCGCAGCAGCAGCCGCTGCTGCAGCATCAGTTGCTCCTGTTTCACCTGTTGCTGCTTCCAAACCTTGGGTGTAGCCCTTTGCAGCTGATCGCAGCGGCCTACGCGCGCACAGATTTTCACTGCTGCTCTCAGTCGAGATCTTACTGGTGTTTCTGCTGCTGCTGCTCCCTAGCAGTCGCTTCGGTTGCTGCCACCCGAGGCGACAAAAGCGGTGAGCTAAAGAAGACGGAAGCATTGCTGCTATCTCATGGTGCCATAGCTGCTGGTGCGGCTGCAGGTGCGGCTGCTGCTGCTGGTGTGCAGCAATCAGACGAAGCTGCCTGCTGGTCGTAGCAGCAGCAGCTATTGATCTGAGGGGTCCTGAAGCTAGGAGACGCATGATGGGAAAATTCTTGTGTTCTGTTGCTGCTCCTGCTGCTGCAGTGCTGTCACCGATGCCGTTGAGCGCTGCTGCAAGTCGACGGGACTTATGTTGCCAGCCTGAAAAAATATTGCCTCGCAGCTGCAGGGATGCAGCAGCCACCTCGCTGCGCTGCAGCAGCGACAGCAGCAGCAGCAGCAGCGAACATACTCGTGCAACCAGGGGCCTATGCATCGGCGCCGGCCCCTGGTGCTGCAACTGTCGCTCAGTTCCTTAGTGTAAGTGGCCGGCTAATGGGCAATGCCTACTGCTGCTGCCGTTGCTGCTGCTGCCGTTGCTGCTGCTGTTGATGATGCTGCTGCTGTTGCTGCTGGAGCCTCCATCGTCCATGTTGCTGCTGCAGCCGCTGCTCTGCACCCCTCAGGCACACGAAATTCACGATCTCCTAGAGAAATGGCAGAAGTAGCAGCAGTGATGGATGCTCCCGCTGTTGCTGCTGCTGCTACTGCTGCTCTTGTTGCTCTCCCTGCCATGCAGCAAGCCACCCATTAGCTCGGAGACTATGTGGCAGCTGCAGTTGAAATGCGCTGGCCTCACTATTCAGATGAGCAATCTCCCTGCAGCAGATGCTATCCTAGCAGCCGCAGCAGATGCTATCCCAGCAGCCGCAGCAGTAGCAGCAGCTGCAGCAGCAACTGCTGCTCCTGCTTTGGCTAGGCTTAGATCTTCCTGAGGCCCCAGGGGCCCCAAAGCACCAATGGGAGGTGACAGACTCTCTTCGATCCAGTTAGAGTACGAGAGACTGGATCTGTTTTGTTGTTGCTCTTGCTGCAACGGTTGCTGCAGTAGTTGCTTTTGCTCCTGCTGCTGATGCCGCCTTCGAGGCATCTCTCGGGGCTGCAGCTCATGCCCATGGGCCCCACAGTCCTCCTTCGGCTGATGAAACTCCCGTCTTAAAGAGATAATTAATAATTAATTTTTGTCTTGTTTGCTGTGTGGCACCTGGAGAGCAGCAGCAAATGGAGCAGGCAGCAGCAACGGGACCTGTTTCCGTATAGAGGCCTTAGCATCGCGAGACTCATTGGGGTGTCGCTGCAGCTCCGTTGCCTTCGTCCCCTTCGTTGCTGCTGTAGCCATTCACATTATGTTTTCTATTGGCAGACTCAACGACAAGATCCTCAGGGTCCTGGAGAGATATGCTTGGGGGCCAGTAGCACCAGCAGCAGCAGCAGCAGCAGAGACAGCAGTTGCTGCTCCAGTCCGTTATTCAGGTGCCCCTTGCAATGGATCCTTCGCATGCGACAGCGGTGACGGCCGGTGCTGCAGTGTGGCGGTACCTGGGGGCAGCACCAGCAGCAACAACAAGAACACCTGCTGCTGCTCCAGCATTCTGCAGCTACCTGAAGGGACAAGCAACTGCCCCTCCAGCTGCAACGGTGCAGTGCGTGAGAGCTGTGGTGGGGAAGGTCTGAGCAGCAGCAGCAGCAGCAGCAGCAGTGTAGACTACAGGGTTTGGTACGACCCCGACAGTCGGCTGTCTGAGGGTCTCGCGCTGCTCTTTTGTCAGCAGTTGCAGGCTGCGCTGAAACAACAACAACAGCTACAGCAGCAGGAGAAGCAGCTACATCAGCCGGAGCAACATCAGCAGCAGCTACGCCGGCAACGGGACCAGCGGCGGGATACGGCTGCGCTGATTGTGGAGGGCCTCTTGGCGGAGAGCAGTAGCAGCACGTGCTGCTCAGCAAGGAAAAGTGCACCAGAGAGCTCCATACAGCAGCAGCGAGAGCTTACATCAGCGCCAGCAACAACGGCAGCGGTAGCAGCAGCAGCAGTAGCACCGCAGCCGTTGAGCTCTTCTCCGTTGGAGGACCTGCTTGACGTTTGCGAGGGCCTCAGCAGCAGCAGCACGCAGGAGGTGTGTGTTTTTCTGTTTGTGGAGGCAACAGACGGCCGCCTTTTGGGGTCTTCTGCTGCACTTGCTGCTGAAGCTGGGGAGGCGCTCACAGACAGAAGGATCCGCCGCCATCCCTTGAGAAGATGCACTCTCTCTCTGGTTTGCTGCGGCATAGCGGCAACCGCAGCAGCAACATCAGCAGCAACAGCATCAGGTGGGACTCATGAACGTTCTACGCCCCCGACGCAGCAACGTCCGTCGCAGCAGCAGCAGCACGCTCAATGGGAAGGGGATAGCTGCGCTCCTCGAGCAGCAGCAAACGGGAACAGTTTTAGCAGCAAGACGAACAGAGTCATTAAGAAGCTAGCCGGAACCCTGGCCAGACTCGGGGCAACTTCTCTTCAACAGCAACAGCAGAACCAGCTGCAGCAGCAGCAGGAGCACGAGCAGCAGCAGCAGCTGTTCTCCCTGACGCTATGCACCGCTGCTGCGCCGGCCACAACTGCCAGCAAATACTGCCAGTGGGTAGACCGTGCGCTGCAGCTCGCACTGCGCAGGCAGCAAGCAGCAGCACCACCAAGTGGCTCCATTGACAGCGAGGCTTCCAGCAGCCTAAGCGAGTTCAGCTACAGCAGCACAGACAATGAAGACGAGCAACGGCAGAGGTACGTGGGAGGCTGCGGAGATGCTGCCTCGGACCTGGAGGACATCGGAGGGGTCTCAGCTTCCTTCTCACTCTCTCCCCCAGCAGCAGCAGCAGCAGCGGGATCAACAGCAGCAGCAGCAGCAGGAGGTTTGCCTGAGCAGCTGACTGCGCGTCTGCGCCGCAATTTAACTAAAGAAGGATATAAGCTGGTGGGTAGCCACTCAGCTGTGAAGATTTGTCGGTGGACCCGCGCTGCTTTGAGGGGGAGGGGGGGTTGTTATAAACACACTTTCTATGGCATAAAGTCCTATGGCTGCATGGAGTTCACGGCCTCAGTTGCTTGTGCAAACCGCTGCCTCTTTTGCTGGCGCCACCACACCAACTTGGCAGCGGGGGACTGGAAATGGAAAGCAGACGATCCCAACGATATACTGCGAGAAGCGGTGTACAGACACCTTACAGCCATCAAGGAACTCAAAGGTGTGGGGGCCGCAGCACTCATCTTCGGCAGCAGACTCACAAACACAATCAAACACTTGACAGGTCCCGGGCTGCTGCTGCACTAGCCGTCGCTGCTGCGCCTGCTGCTCCTGCTGCTGCTCCTGCTGCTGTCCCTGCTGCAAGGAAGCCAGACGCAATTAGACTGCCCCTGCAGTCTGATGCATATATTCCTCTAGCAGCCAACGGTTTCCCCTCTAGATCTGCTGTTGTTGCGGCTCCCGCTGCAGCAGCACCAGCAACAGCAGCAACAGCAGTAGCGGCAGTTCCAGCAGCAAATGGCGGATGCATATGCCCTTTGAGGCTTCTGTGTGTATATATACATATAGGTGTGTGTGTGTGTGTGTTTGTTTGTCTGGCTGCCTGGCTGTGTGCGCTTCTGTTGTCTCTTTGTTATTGTCTTCGTTTATGTCGCCGTCTTTCTTATGCCGTTTGTTTCTGTTTACATCTCAGGCCTCCCTGGCTTGCGTAGAGATTTCTTTGATCAGGTGGACAGCAAAGTGCTGCACTGTGCCCTGTCTTTGGTGGGAGAGCCCATCATGTATCCACGCATTAACGAGCTGCTGCACCTGATGCACCAGCAGCACATCTCCTCCTTCCTGGTCAGCCCCCCCCTTCTCCTGCTGCTCCCGCTGTTGCTGCTCCTGCTGCTGGCTGCTGCTGCAACGCGCATGCGTAACCGTGCATCACTGCACACGCGTGATGCTGCACATGCGGCAGCAAAACCTGCAAGAATGCACCATCACCGACTCTGACCTCTGCTGCTGTTGTTGTTGCTTCTGCTGCACCTGCTGTAATTCCTGTGGTTCACTGAGGCTACGTTGATTGGCTGTGATCCGTAAAAGTTCATCAGGTGCACCCCCATTTCATCCTGTTTTTTCAGGTCACCAACGCACAACACCCAGAGGCTCTGCTCTCCTTGGGACCAGTGACGCAACTGTATCTGTCGATTGATGCAGCAACAGAGGGCGACCTGAAGCGACTAGGTAAGACTGTTTCTGTCTTGCTATCGTTCGTCTGCCTCCATTTGTCTCTCGGTGCTCGTGGTATTTGGCTCTTTCTGTCTTCATCATGTCTTTTTGACGCTGGTTATATGTCTCGGTGTAGGTATCTGTGTCTGCTGCTGCTTGCATCTCGTTCGCTCGGTTGCAGCTGTTTCTGTTGCACTCCTTGTGTGTCTTCCTTGCCTCTCCCCTGTTCCTTCCTTTTACTTCTTTCGTTCTTTCTCAGCGTGCTTGTTTCTAGCTTTGAGTTTTCTTCTCCGTGTTGTCTCCTGTCTCTGCCTTTCCCTCTTTGGTCGCGTCTTTCTGCACCCTTCTGTACCCCTGTCTCCACAGTTTTACTCCTTTCAAGGGATACCTATGAATGGGCAGGGGGGTTCATTGTACATTTGTTAAGTGCATCGAGCGTCACAGTAGCGAATCTCGGATGCAGCACAAGCTGGTGGTCGACCTGTGGGTCTCGAAACGGAGCCCGTGGGAGTCTGACCTCTCACCATGGCGCTGCTGCAGCGGCTTGCGAGGTCAACACTGAGGGGAGTGCCTTTGTCATGGCACATGCTGCAGCCACTGCTGATGCTGATTCTGCTGCTGCTCCTGCATGCAATTCGAGGCGTTTCGGCTCGGCGTGGCGATGCGTGCAGACAAACCTGTGCACAAGGACTACTGGGCGCGTTTCCTGAGGTGCATAGACATCCTGAAGACAAAGAAACAAAGAACTGTGTTCCGCCTTACACTTGTGCACGGCTACAACTGCCTCCTAGAGCCAGCAGCAGCGGGAGACTCCACCGCTGCACCCAATACCAACAGCAGCTTGGGGAGCATCAGCAGCAGCACCACCACCACGAACAGCAACACCAAAGTAGGCCGCCGAAAGGCAGACGGGGAAGTAACCAGCACACTTAATGGATATGCCTCTCTTGTGCTGCGGGGGGAACCCGACTTTATTGAAATCAAAGGCATGACATTCTGTGGAGGCCTCGATAAGGAGTCTTTGTCTATGAAGAACGTACCAAGACACCACCAGGTGTGCACCACGAACACGATCCCACCAAAGAGATCCCGCCGAAACGACCCCAGCAATGCGATCCCACGATAACGATCCCAGCATCCTGATCCCACTGAAACGGTCCCTGCTCAGTTTCAGCAATACGATCCCACCGAACCGATCCCAGCAGCCCGACCGCACTGAAGCGGTCCCAGCCACACGCTGTGGCTGAACCGTTCACATCCACGCGATCCGACCGAACTTACCCCAGCAACACGGTTCCACCGAACCGATCTCAGCAACGCGATTGCCGCAGTGTGCTTCCCTTTAACATGCGCTTCGCTAGCAGGCTCGGTAGTTGTCAATGCCTTCCTTTTTGTGTTTGTGCGAATGGCTTGTGATGGTTTGTTCGCAAGTGCAAGTAAGGTGCAAATCGAAAACAGATATTCTATAATATATTTTGTGTATGCGTGACCGCGGCAGGTGCTGGGATTCGCTGGGGCGCTCCTGAAGGCACTTCCGGAGGGTAGGTATGGCTTAGCCTCCGAGCACGAGCACTCGTGCTGTGTGTTGTTGGCGCTCACAAAGTAAGCTGGACCCCCACCCGTCGCCAAAGTCTTCTTATGCTACTTGTTCTCCTTCTTCCCCTGTGGGCTCCGTTTGCTTTGCATTGCTTTCTATGCTTGTCGTTATCACCGCCTTTGCTCCGTGTTCAGCAACCCGTGCTGCCTAAAATGAACGCGCTGCAGGTACCGCCGCGACGGCCAGTGGCACACGTGGATTGACTACCCCAAGTTTTTTGAACTTGTACGTTCTTGGCAGTCTGTACAAACGAAGGTAGACAGGTGTGGTGTATGATTGCTCAAGCATGTGCCTGAGGCCTCTGAAGTAGTACGTCTACTACAGACGGCAAAGCTGTTGCTGCTGCATAAGAGCTTCGTCCCTTTGCAGGCCCTCACCGGGAACTCCAACTTCACGGGCCTTGACTACTCGGTGCCTTCGCCGTCTTGGGCTACCTTTGGAGCCGAAGGTCGCGGGTTCGATCCCAACCAAAGACGGTAAATTACATTTTAATCATTTCGTTATTAACTCGGATCCGGGTGTTGTTTTGCATGTGCTGTGGTTCGTAAATGCAGGGCTCGATGCATGCAGCTGTGCCTTTCTCTGTACATACGTGCAGAAGCACGCTCGTGTGTCTTGCCTTTCGTTTGGGGTGTACTTTGCAAATGTTTCATTCTGGAGGTGGGAAGGGCTGGCGCCGCAGCGGCACAACAGCTCGAAATGACAGAGCGAATTACTCCGCCGAGGCCCCCGTGCATCATCGATCGAAAAGACTGCTGCGGCTGTTTCTCTCGGCCGTTCCAGTCTCTTGTTGAGTGGCACCGCTGCGCTGCTGCGGGCAGCTTGCTGCTGCAAGCTGCTTGGTGTAGATGGCAGCATGGCTGTTCTATTGTCGGGTGGGGCGGATTTTTGAATTGCCTTTGCGCGTCTGATGCTCGTGTGGAACGCCCAGGGTATTCGGGAAAGGTCGCCGGAGGAAGGAAGCAATGGCGGCTCAATTGCACCGCTGACAGCTTCTGCTGTTGCTGATGCATGCATATTGAAGAGGGAAGAGAGACAAAGTGCAAATGATGATGAGGGCTGTCTTGGGAAGAAGAACGTTCTGAAGAGTCAGATGCATCTCCGGAGTTGTGGGCGAAGGTATAACAGCGTTGTGCTTGGTGGATTGCCGCTCGGTTTGGTTGTGTGCATATGCCTAGGTTCTGCTCACTTGCTAGCATGCATGCAAAAATGCATGCACGTTGTGTACGCATGTACTGCAGCACTCCTAAGAAAGTGCTGGCAAGAGCAAACCGCTTCTTGTTTTTCTCTGTTTACTCTCAACTGCTTGAAGTCGTCAATCATTCGTGCTCCTGAGGGTTGTGCACACCAAGCAGTGGCTGAGGTCCCGTAACATTTCAAGGGGTACAAACACTGGAAAGCAAGGGCAAGAAGCAGAAGCAAAGGCAGCAGTGATAGCACAAAACCGAGAAGCAGACAGAAACATAGCCCGTAGAGACAGACAGGGACAAACAGATGAGAGTAAGATACAAAGCGCGTAGCCATGGAAAGGTTGCTCACAAAATAAAGAACAACGGGGACGCGACGACAGAGGAAGTGGATTTCCTGTGGGTTTTTGGTTTCCTTGCCTCCACCCCACCTCTATGACCCACAGACATGCAAAACCAACCGCAAAGTATTTGTTTCAACAATGACAAACTTGGACGTTCACAGATTTCATGTACGCTGGAGCACAACGGCAGAAGAAAGAATTCCATCGGAGTACCACCGCTCTTCGGCTTGGGCTGCTGATGCAGTTGCATCTACCGATGCTGCCGCTGTACAGCAGCAGCTGCAGAAGCACTAACACCGAGCCCTCGTTCTGCTGCACAAGCTGGTTAAGTTGGAATGGAGTTCTACACGGGGGGTTTGCGTCCGGCTCTAGTTGCGCCCCCGACCGTTCTTTCCGCCTTTTCTCTCTCGCTGATTTTTGCTGCATCTGTGTTGTTTGCAGTTTTGTCTTCATGCGTTTGATTGCGGGTTTCGCTGTGACTTTTGTTGGAGTACCCGCCGTCCTCTGTTGTTGTATCACTGCCGTATTCTTCCTCTTCCCCATCCTCGCCTTCTGTTTGCGTTGTTGCTGCCTCTGCGCCTGATGCTGCTTCCGCAGCTGGCATAGTGCTACTGCCATGCTCAGGGGCCCTTGCAGGTGCGGGTGCTGTCTCTGCTGCTACAGGCGCCCCATGGCCTTCGCCGGGCAAACTCAGATGGGGAGCTGTTGCAGAGGTCGTCTCCCAGACCTCCTGTTCTGCTTCGGATGCGCTGGCTGCTTCTTCTGCTGCTACTTCTTGTGCTGCAGAAGCTGCAGCAGCCGCAGCACGGACGTGCTGATGCTCTTCCAGCAGCTGCTGCATCTCCTCGTCGATCTCTATCTCCGTTTCCGCTTGCTTCTGGCCCTCCACTTGGCGCACTTCCGCTTCAGCCTCCCGCACATCTCGCTGCACTTCTTCCTGCGTCGCTGCTTGCACGGGGTGTGGATGTATGACGCTCGGTATTTTGGTTTCTGATGCTGCTTGCTCTTCTGGCGCCAATCTGCAGCAAAAACGAGTTCTTGTAGAGTTGTACGTTTGCGGCTGTCTCTGTTACCGTTCAATTGTCTTCTCCAGTCTGTAGTGGAAGTTGTTTCAACAGCAATGGACGTCAAATGGCTGTGTAGGGCTCATCATCACCCGAGTATGCATTTACTTACATTTCTATTTCGCCCCTGGGCGCTTCAGGCGTCCGTCCTGCCTCTAGCACTTCCTACAAGAATTCAACAAGCGCCGCCTGCAGTCTCATCTTCTCTCAATGCTGACAAGTCAAGAACAAATCTACCTCAGGTAGAACTTGCGCAATTTCCGCCTTAGACTCGGGTAGGCATTCAGTGGGTTTGGTTTCGCCGCTTGGTCCCCCTGCCGCAGGTATCTGAACTGCAGTCTTTTCCATTGAAGTAGTAACACCAGCTGCAGCTTCTGCGTTTTTCTTGTCCTGCTGTTCTTTGCGGCGGCGCCTGGCGCCTTGAAAACTCTCTGAGAGTTTCTGCGCTCTGTGCTGCGCAGAGGTAGCAGAAGCCCTTGGTGAAGAGGATGATGGTATATGCATGACGCGGCTGGCAGCTGTTGTCTAAGCTTCCTCACTGGATGGCAGCTTCCTGGCGTTCTTTTAGCGCAGCCACGCCTTCATTTACACGACCAACTTCGCTGTCGATCTCTTCTTCTGGAACCTCAAGTATTTGTTCAAGTCGCGGGGATGTCAAGGCCTGAGCCGATCTTATGTTCGCCTTTTCTTTCAAAAAGGTAGCGACAAAACAGTTGTACTTCGTGGTAAGGACGCAGAAATCGGTTCTCATTCAAACACGAAACCGCTGGTAACCACGCCTGAAAGCCCATACCGAATACGGCAACGAAGTCCCTAAAAAGCATGATAGTAATTATTCCTTAATTCTATGGAATCTTCATCTTCAATGAAGAAGTTGTGCGTAGATGCGGAGAGTCGCTTACTGCCACCATCCCCAGACACCCCGTTCAACAGTTGCATTATACCCACAGTAACCGTTCATATCCGTATTAACCGCAAATGGAAACCACCATTAGAGACCGAAATTGCCTGCTTAATGAGGCCGATAAATCCGTAGTCTGCCGCACATGAGTGTGTTCAAATAAAACTGAATAGGTAAACTCCTGCAGTAGGTGGCAACGTGTGGTCGTCTGCATTCAAGCCATGACCCACTGGCGCGTGTCCTGATGTAAGGCGACCTGTTTCTCTTGCCAGTACGCAAGGAAGGCATGCACTGCTGCTTCGTCAGCAGCGAATAATATTTTCGTTGCTGCCGCTATGCCGCTACGGGTGTACGTGGCCACCTGTTCAGTGGAGATGCTTCCCTTTGTCACTGCTGTTTTCTGAGAAATTGCGGAACTTCCACTGCAAAAACAATTTCGCTTCCGTTACACACTTATCACCTGGCGTGGCTGCAACTACAACTCACTCATTGCGGTCAGCTGTTTCACACGCACTTCAACTGGTGGCTGTTCTCCCGCTGCTTGTACTTAAAAAAACAAGGCACTGGCAGACAGGCACGTCTGGCTGCACACCTGTGTGGTGGCCTGTGCGTGCTGAACACGGCTCAAGTCGCCGCCAGCGCAGCCGCTTAAGCTCCTGCTGCGTCCTGCGCATGCATACATGCAACAATACGGTGTGGTGAGAATGCTGCTGCGGTGCGGTTGTAGTATCTGATGCGCCGCTGGGTTGAAGCGTAATGCCTAATAGCCGTAGTTGCCAAACGAAACGATGAACTCGTCACCCAAGTACTCCTTAACCATCTTTGCCGTGATTGAATGGTCCGCCGCTCCGTACTGATATGAATATCCGTAGATCTCCACCTTCTTCTCAGCGCGCAGCACGTCCATGCGGCCTCCCCCCGTGACGTCTGTATCCACACATCAGCAAGAAACATCAACGAAGACGATGCTAGCTGGGTGGCAGTTCCGCCCGCCGCACCTCCCACATTCGCAGGAAAAAAACCTCGTATGCATACAAGCGTCTTTGCATGCATGCATGTTTGTATGCATACGAGCAACTCGGGCAAAACCGTGTGCTCTTGCCCACATCTCAGCAATACATGGCCAGTTGACGAGGGCAGTGGCTGGGGCTGCTGGCCTCCCAACACAAAGCGAACCTGAGGTGGGCCCGGTGCAGATATTCAAAGGGTTAAATATATATATATATACGCTATACATGCATATATTATATATATACTTCTTTAGATCACATGAACACAGTTACCTGACAAGATGTTCCTCGACTGAAGAGCATTCAGCGTATCGAGCGCTGTTTGGTAGTGGTATTCGGCCTTGGGGTCTCCACGCACGAGATAGATATCTCCGCGCATATCGTCCTGTTTTGGTATTTTAATCAGCGTGTACTTCTGTCTGCCATCCCCCAAGATGACGGCCTGCAGGGAGGAGGAATATTCGTGCGTGCTCTGTTTGTTTGTTTCTGCTGCATCAGCAGGGTTCCGTGACTCCCTCTGTTGTTTCCGCAGCTCCACAAGACGGTCTGTCAGCGCCTGTGTCGCGAGTTCAAGCGAAGGACGGTCTAACGGAGAGGCTCCAGCCAGTTCATCGTTTAGCACCTCCAGCGCCAGCTCGACCTCTTCAGGGGTCCGCTGGGACTGCCGTGACCCTTCCATCTTTGCGAGACGACGCATACGAGATATCTGCAGCGCTCTTTCGACAGGTCTGGTGCGCGCCTTCGGTGGAGTAGTGGAAACAGCGCTGCTACAGGCGCCCCAGGTGCCCTGGGCTACAGCGGAATCGCCTGAGTGCTGCTGATGCCGTTGAGGGAGGGGCCACCCTTCGCGACTGCAGTTGCTCCTAGGTGGTCTGCCTCCTAACGCTAAACCACAGGACCTTTCTTCTTGAATGCCACCGCCCTCAGGCTCGCCGTTGCCGTGAGAGAAAGCCAAGGAATCCTCCCCTATTTCAAGTGCCAGTCTCTTTGCAGAATCAATTGGCCGTGGCACAGCAATGCAATTGGAGCGTTTACCTCGGGAACACTGCACGTGGGTGGAGAAGAGCGAAGGAAGCATATGCCAGTCTGCCCACTGGGCGCCCGCAGTCGAGGAGGGAAAAACAGGTTGAATGCACGACCTCGCCCTCTCTAGGCCAAACGCTCATTTACGGAGGCGTACGGAGTAAAACCTAAGTATTCTAATGCTTCCCACGAAACCCCAGAGATATTCCCAATAGTTTCCACCGAAAAGAACACCACGCGCCTGTCATGCCAATCAATGAACGCAGAGGCCCCACGGGCACACACCGTCTGCTCAGCAAATCTGTTAAAGTATAGAACGATGAATTTGAATTTCGATTAGAGATTAGAAGGGTAAAACCAATAACACAACAGCTCAAAATCCACTCAAGGGCGGACCTGAAGCCGCAGCCCGTGCACCGTCAGAGAATGCAAGACGGCCCACCACCCACTCAGCTGAGCTGCTTTTTCGGCCCAAGTCTTCGGTGCGTTGAGAGCCGCCAAGTGCATTTAATGCATCAAAGCTTGGAGACATCCGTGCAAAAATCCAACGAGCCGACAATATAGAGGCTCAATCGATGTTCACCGTGACCTCCGCGCTGCACCGCTGTTCATGCCGCCGCTTGCATTCAGCACAAATCCATTTGCATGCGCATAAGAGGGCCGTAGACAATTTGCAGCTCCATGACAGAGCAGAGTGCTTATGAGCAGCCCTTCTGCTAATCGTCGAGGGGCAGGACAATTACTGTGGGAGGTTACCGCAGGCTGGCGTGCAAACTCAGCATGCGCCCTTACCGGTTACTAGAACTTTCTGCTCGTCTGCCTGTCCGGTGCTTTTGAAGCTCTCTACCAAGGCCATAGAGCAGGCACACCGTTGGGGCGCTCAGCAACGGATCTCCCAAAGGTCCCTAGAACAATGTGTAATACCTGCTATGAAGTTCTACGTGAGATGAAACACTAGCTGGGCCGCCTGTGTACAACGCTGAATGGCAGGGACAAACAGGAACGAGAACTCTGAGCAGCGCAGCGCTGTACATCACCCACGGCCCAGGACCAAACGTAGCTGACCTGAATTACCCTTCACAAAGGAAGCACTTGAGGAGGCATAAAAATTTAGGCCCCCCAACCCAAAGCAGAAACTCGAGGGCTTCCGCTACGATTCGGCAGTGTATGCAGTGAGTGCCTGGCGTTGTAGCACAGATGATTCGAGATGCTAGGAGTTTATTACTGACGCTCTTGATCAGAGATTCACAAGCTGGCAGCGGCTAGCTTGCCGCAGTTAACCTTCTCTTAAATGTGAACAGCCACTGCGCCTGCTGTTTCAGCTAGCCGCTGCGCCGGTGACCATTTGGCGTTACCCACTGCACCGGTAAACAACAGCAGCTAGCCACACTGAACACCCTCTGAGCATCTCAACTGCTATGCAGCCCTCCTACTCTCTTCTGTCTAAGGAATTGTGCGGTATACAAGGACAGGACGACTTAGTAAAAAAGACGTCGTCCTTTTGCATTGTAACTTACAGGCGGGCTTTGCCTGTTCCCCCTCCTTGAGGCAGGAGTCTGCTTCTGCTTCTTGCGCTACGACAAACCCTGATACGTTGGTTCACAGCAGCCTGCAGTCATTAATCACTGAGGCAGGAAGAGCAGGCCCGCCATTTGGCCGCCAACAGGGCCTGCTCTTGTTGTTGCACTGAGGGTTTGATTGCCCCACGTACCAGGCGCATTTTCTTCAAATATAATTAAAATATCATTTCTTTTAGAAATGCTAAAATGGAAGGACGGCCCGGGTGCTGGCGGGCGGACTTCTCCCGCCTTCGGCTCACATAAGCCCTGCAGGCCTCGAAACCACACCGCCGATAGGCTGACTTGGATATCTGTCTTCTCTCTGTCGGCCTGGTGCTGCTCTGCGTGTTCCTGTGCTGGTGATTCCGGCTCCCCTCTGATGTTTGTACACTGCAGCAAGCGTGGAGAAGGCTGCACAGGAGGCACGGGTGGTGGCGCCCACAGAGACGGGAAAACAACTCCGACAGTTGCCACAGAGATGACGCCTCATCCCTTGGACGAGCAGGTCCCTCCTTGCAGCATCATTAAAGTACGCAGCACTCACATGCAGGAAATTAACAAACAGCTTGACCTGCGACAACGCCGCAGGCGAAGCCCCGGACCTTCTAGGTGCTGATCAGCTGCTGCAGCAGCGTGCCCAACTATGCCCTCCAAGCGCTGCCGCCGTTGTGGACTCCACAATCAATGCCCTGCCTTGCGTTGTTCCCTGTTCGAAAGAACAGCTCTTGCAATGCACCAGTAAGCGCAACACTGACGAGGCGAGGGCGTACCGAGCAGCAGCCAGTGGGCGCTGATTGCTGCGACGAGTTGTGGAGTGAGCCGCCGCTTCTGTAGCTTTCATTGTTTTGTGGGGTCTTGCTCAGTCGATGACAATTGGGGGGTTGGGGTCGTTTTCAACTGGAGGCGGCACCACGCGTTCCCCCTTCGCCTTGCGCGCCTCTCTATCCAACTCAATCTTCAAGGCCCGGGCGTACGCGGCCAACTCCTCGTCAGTTAGTGGGTCAAAGCCCTTCGCATCGTACGCCGGTGCGAACGTCGAGTCGCCTGCAGTTGCCGGATCTGGCGATGGAGAATTGTCTGCAAACTGAACAGCTTCCTCGACGATGTCTTTTATCTGCGATGCGAAACACAAGACGCAAACCAAAGTTGTCAACCACTACATGCACAGTGCAATACACCTGCCTCTCTTCAAGCTGAGCATATGTTTACACCTGAAGAGCAACGAAGCTGCAGCGAGCAGACGGGACAAACAAGCAAAGGCGTTGATGTCTGTACGCCTTTACGAGTTATTAGGCAGAAGCGGAGTCAGCACAATATCCACGTTAACGAACTACCTGCTTCGCTTCTCCCCTTCCCTTCTGCAGTGTCTTCACATCCGAGGGCTGGTGCAGTCACCCCGTGCTGCTACTTACCTTGTTTCGCGTCAGTTCCAACGTTTCTTCGTTGGCGTACCCCATCTCCTGCATGTACTGCTCAAAATGTTTTATGGGGTCACGCACTGCAAAGGCCGCCTTCTCGTGGGTGCAACGGAGCTCGTCTGGGTCGGCCAGCGAGTGCCCTCTGCAGCATCCACCCCATCCCATGCGCAGACTCCCCCAAGGTCAACAATAAACCCTAGACCTCAGAGTTTAGGCCTGACTACTGCTCTCGTTACGCACCGGAATCTGTAGGTGAGAGCTTCTATGAGGGATGGTCCCTCCCCCTTGCGCGCTCGTTCAATGGCTTGGCGTGCAGCAGCACGAACAGCCAGGACGTCCATGCCGTCGACTTCCACACTGGGGACGCCGAAGGGGGGGCCCCTTTGGTGAATCTCCTGCACTGCTGTGCTGCGCTGCGCCGCCATGCCAATGGCCCTGCAGCAGGCGAACACCCGAGCCGCCGCACACCCCACCACTAAGACTTGAGAAACTACAGTCTTCTTGGCAAGCCAGAACTGCTGCGTTACAGAAAAAATGTCTCGTTGCTCGCCCGATGCATGAGGCGACGCAAGGGTATCATGTGTGTATGGCCTATACCCTGAATAAAAGCGCACTATCTCATGCATGCATCAAGCTGAACCTGAGCAGAGGAGGGGAAGGGCTGAACCCATGAAAATACCAGTTATTATTCTCTACGACGAACACCACTGGCAGCTTCATCAGAGCCGCCATGTTCATCGCCTCGTAAAACTGCCCCATGTTGGTTGTGCCGTCGCCCATAAAGCAGACAGTGACCTGCATAAGTCCGCAGCAGCCCACAGGCCCACGAGTTCTCCACTTGCAGCGCGTAGCTACGACCCACACTTAACCCCGAACATCCGCCTGCATGCAACTGGGCTGCAGCAGACCTAGGAAACGGCAGCCTCTGCAGATGCACAGGTGGCCCCTCTACTGCGAGAGCGTCGGGTCAACTTTAGGAACTGGAAGCGCTGTGCAGCAGCCATAAGACCTTAATAGAACATAAGGGTTCTCAGTGAGGGGACAATGATATACCTGATCCTTCTCTCCGGGCAGCTCGCGTTCTGCAAGGCGTCGATACAGCTGACTGAAGGCGACGCCTAGTGCTACAGGAATCTGCTCGCCTATGAAGGCGAATCCCCCGTAAAGACTCCATTCTTTGGAGAACATGTGCATAGACCCGCCAAATCCCTTAGAGCATCCCGTCTTCTTCCCAAAGAGCTCAGCGAAGACCTCACGGGGGGGCACCCCTTTGCTGGTTGCGTGCACGTGATCTCTGTAGGTGGAGGCAACAGCGTCGTCTTTGCGCAGCAGCTTCAGCACGCCACTGCTCACAGCCTCCTGTCCTGTGTACAGATGAACAAACCCTGCTGTCTTTCCCCGGTAATAAAGCCGAGCACAAGCGTCCTCGACGTAGCGACCAAGCAGCATATCTTCATACAGCATCTGCGCCACAATAGGCGATACGTTCTCCCTCCGACTTTGCAGATTCCCCCGAATACTGCCCCGCAAAAGGCCGCCCAAGCCATCCTCGTGGAAGATGGAAGCCCTGTTACCCTGCGATGTATCAGCAGCTGGTTGCCGCGTGGCTAGCGCTGCAGTTGCGCCAGAAACGGCGGCGCCGCCTGCAGCACCATGGACGCGATGGTTGTGTGCAGCCAAGCGAGATGAAGTTGTGGAGGAAACCAGTGAAGGAACCTCTGAGACACGATCCAACGCTACAGGCTGCTGCACCCACAGAGCGTCCTGAGGTGGGCGCGGGCTCGCAATATGCAATGATGCACGTTGGTTTGTACGTACTCCCCGCGCATTCGTTATACCAGGCAAGAACGAAGAGAAAGAAGAGCCCTGTGGGCTCACAAATGCAGCAGGGGGCGCACTGGACCCAAGACCGGAGGCCAACAGCGTTCCACCCCCCAAGACTCCCGCTACCGCGCACAGTAGCAGCTCAACGGCCTTGGTCATTTTCAAGCTATAACACTATCAAAATCTGCCAGCGGTAACAACAGGGGACGAAACAACGCCCTCTGTCTTCGAGGGCCTCTCGCGTCGTCCGTCCTGTCCTTGCCACTACCACTGGGGGGAAGCCAAAGAAGCCTCAGTCCAAAGTACAACAAAACGTATATTCAGAATGAGGAACAAAAAAGACAACCTATTCATCTTTCAAATTTGTCTGTGCTCTCTTCCTTACATAGAAGCCGCTCGCTAAGCACGAGACGCTGCATGCTAGCCAAGTAGGTTCCCAAAGAGCTCCTGTGCTGGAGCATGACCAGGAACAGAACGAAATAGAAATTTGCCAGGCTGCCATTCCTACAGTTTACATCAAATTCAATTTATTTTCATATGGGTATTGTAGACTTCCCTCGGAGGTGCACTATGTAACGGAGCCGCGTTACGCTGTGGGTTGCAAGTGTGGCGTGGTCTGTCTGAAGCTGATACGCGGATTTCTACTTGTTCTCAGGTTAGCTACTGAGTGCCAAGTGAGTGTATGACAATTGTGTAAAGTGTTAGAGTGTGCATCAAAGAGGGGATCGGATTGTGTTTGCACGTGAGGTTGGGTTGCCTAGCAGCAGCAAGGTGTCCTGCAGCACACGCATACAAGCATTGAGCCTTTTGATCCGTTGCTACCAGAATATTAGAGTGCAGGTAAACTTGTCTTTGGGAACTTTTGTCCTAACTCTTTTGACCCTCGCTTACGTTTCGGCAGCCGTCTAGTAAGGTCCATCTAGCCTGGTCTGTGTAAAGTTGGTTTATGGATCTGTGTGCCTGCACTTGGAAGCACGTGGCTGTGGGGTGCCGAGAGCAGGCGCTCTGCAAAAGAAAAATTCACAGTTTTTCTCCCGGAGTAATCCCTAAAGCTTCACCCATTTTCTCCTCTCCTACGATGGAGATTGGTCAGCAGTTCCCTTCACCGAAACAAACGCAGTCCCTCTTTTCCAGCAGTACAAACAGTCTTTAGAGCAAACAGCAACTCATGAAATATGCCCTCACCTTTGCTCTGTGTTGAAGAGGGCACTCAGATGCAGGGGTAGTGGAGTTTGTTGTTCCCCTTAATTTGTAATTCCGTCCAAAAACTGCACGGGGAGGGCTGCATTTGCTATTGGCTCCTTCCTTGTGGGAAGGGGAGGCACGGAGATAGCGGTTGTGTCTACGCCAAAGCAGCACTTTCCCGTAGTGGATCGGGGCTCTTGAAGCTTTCCAACATGCGCAGCTATGTGGGTTTATTCCCAGTCAGTAAAGGACCAAGTTATGGCAGAACTGCGAAGGCATAACGCAAGCTACCGAAAGACGGCTTTCTGCAGAAGAATGAGTCCTTGGTAAACAAAAGTCCAACAGTGTTCTCGGAACTTGTATTTCAGTGGCTCAGGAAGGGTCGGCCCTGGAGAGGGCAAATGGGCGGTTGGCATTATCGCGGAGACGAACAAAAGGGTGGAACATGCCAAGATGATACCAAAGTAATACATGAAAGAATGAGAAAATGCCATTTCCGTCTCCCCAGCTGAGACGAAAGAAAACGGGTTTGGACAGCGCCATAGTAGAGCTTATGGGAATTGGGGCTTCGAACGCCAGCCTCGCCCAGAAAAATGCAGGCAGACGGAACAGACCATGGCCGGTGAATCCGGCATTCAAAAACCCGCGGGAAAGTACTGACTGGCACATCTGCTTCTTTTTCAGTGGAGAGGTCCCATAATTCCGAAGTCCAGAGGCACAAAAATGGATAGGGAACTGTATAAGCACGGCTTCAAGCAATACAGCTGGGGAAAGAAACAAGGTGGCCGAGTAAAGGACTTGGTTCCCACGTTGCAAGCGGAGCGAAGATGGCGCCAGAAGGGGGGACCGCCACACCAACCGAGCCGACCAGAGTCGGTTTGTAGTTTTAACCAAACTCATTAATGATCAGGAATTCCTAGCTCTGACTGACATGGGCTACAAACTGGATCTGGCCTCTGGAGCTACGGGACAGAGCCACAGCCAACGTGCTTATTCGTTAGCGTGACCTCAGCATCTACGCTCCTCTGAAGACATACAGAGCATAGGATTCCAGTTTGCCACAACATAACCCTAGGCATGCGGTGGATGACTCGACGGAGGGCTCGAATGCAGTAAGCAGAAGGCATACTTGAGATATATGAGCGGGAGACCAACGAGAAACTGCGCCACTTTGTTCTTCTAACGGCGTTTGCACTCTTTTCGGTAAGTAGAGCGGAAACAGTCCCAAGGAGAAAGGAGCAGCACGTTCCGGTGCAGAGACGCTGCAGGGGACGACCGGAGAAATGAATGCCCTCCGCCGTGATGCTCTTTCGAAACCCGCAGTTCAGGAGAATCCAGTCCAGTGGACGTCTAAAGAACAGCAGAAGTGAGTGCAGTTGAAGGGACACGGCTGAGGTGAATTGACCAGAAAAGAGCTACCAGGGGGCTGGCCACTCGCTGGGCGCTCAATGCACCCCATTAAACTCACTCCTGGAGCACCCCCTGTACTGCACAGACAGCACACTGGTACTCATATTGGAAGTCTATAGGTCCATCCAGTAAAGAGAGCACATACACTATACTATTACAGATACATCAAGTAGCAGTAGACAGGATGTAAGACTATCAGGCCAAGAGTGCTCTGCAGCTACCTAGGACCTGGGGGTGGGTCAGATTGGTACTGTAGCCCAGGCGATGACCCGGAAGCAGTCAGAGGGGGAGACTATTATTATTACTCTTCTTCCTTCAGGAGCAATGGACCCCGGATGCAAATGAGCGACTGCTCTTTGATATACTAACGTTATTTCAAGGGTTTGGCGCTGAGTGTAGCGTCTATATACCGACTGTGCACCTCAATATGTACGCATAGGACTGATAAGTAGTGGCAGCTGAGAGCGCTGTTCGCTACGCCACAAGACGTTCTTCCCAGATGCAGGTGACCCCACACATGTGTGAACAGGGATTTGAGCGGTAGAGAGACGAACTGTTAAGAAAAAGCTAAGTTCAATTGTCAACTAGTGCGTGTAGGCACAATGCTATACTGGCGAACCAAATGGGGAAAAGGCTACACTTGCGCGTTGACTTCAAGCCCCTCAACAAAATCACAATCAAAATCGAAGCATTCTGAAGCCCCGGACCGACCAACGGCTTGACCATTTGCAGAGCCCAGCATTCTTTTCATACGAATCCCCTTATGCCCTTTTGCGCATCTGAGTACATTCCGAAAACCGCTACGTCTTCCATACCCCCACTCGCCAACTAGAATGCACGTCTATGCGCATCGGGTTCGTGCACGCGCCTATCGCGATGCAGTCACAGGCCATACACGATTTCTTGTGGCCAGTCAATGAGGAATGGATAATTGTATGCATGGATGAGGTGCTTCAGTTCAACCAGAATGTGCAGCAGCGCCTACACCACCTGAGTCGCGCACTGCCACTGATTTTCACTATCACGTGAAAATCAGTGCTTCGCGAAAGTACAGAGGCCCTCCCTTTTTACGCAAGCAATCAAGTTCTTCTTGTTTTGTGTCTCGAGGCAGGAGTAGAACCCGATATGGCCACGTTCAAGGAGATTCCCACGTGCGTCGGCGAAATCAAATGACGAACAGACTTAAGAATCCTGCAAGCGGTCAAATATTATGCTTTTGCAGGGCACGGAATACGCCCGCATCATCGAACTGGGCGCACATGCGCCACCGCCTGACCTTTTCCTTCGCCAGCACTATGTTGCCTCCAAGAGCACTGGTTGATGGTTCAACTTTGCCTTTCGTAGCATTCTGTCTGCATGCCTCTGGATTTCCCCTTTAATTTATGGAAGTTGCCTCTGTAGGAACACCCGAGCCGTCTTCCGATGCGTCCGCATTAAATTATTAAGCGCTTACTCACGTGCAGTAGTCAACAAGCAGACAGATATACGTGCATGCGCCCACGTCCTATGGATCCTTCGCCATGGCAGTTTTGCAGCTCCTGCTGGGCACTTTAGTGGATGTTCTGCTGCACGTATAGGCCCCCCTGTCCCCGTATGCCCCAGGGCCCTGTGTCGCTGCGTGCACTTCTGAACTTCGTAGGGGGGAAGAGCTGTTATGCACGATGCCATTATCCCTAGTTCCTTTGGCTCCCTTGTGGTCGCAGACGCTTCAAGGGCGAGGCAGTAGAAGCCCGCCGAACCTTGGTAGTACCATTTGATTGCAAGATGCATAGCTCTCCCCTCCAAAGCAGCTGCTTTCCATATTGATGGATTTATAAATGCATCATACCACTCTAAATATAGTGCCTCTACAGAACCTAGAAGGCTGCAAGAGTGCCTCCCCTCGTAGTACGCGGCACCACGGAGCCGCATCACCACAACCAAAACAGTTGCGCCACGGGAGATTCGGCGGTACCGGAAAAGCAGAAACCGTCCTCCATGCGTTATTTGTTGGCGTCTATGCTGCATATTTGTGCATAGTGTTCCCCTCAAGGCTTACATCTACCTGGCTAGTTACCTGAAAAAAGCTGAACGCTCAGATAATTCGTCAGGAAATTACCGCCTGCTGCAGGCTCCCAATGCCTCCTTGCCCCCAGCAGAAGCCGAAACTCTCAGCATTCACTGGAACAAAATTCTCGTCAAGTAACGCGCCCGACCTTTATAACATATGCACTGTTCAGGTCTGGGCGCCTGTGAATGTTTAATACTGCGCTACAGCCAAACGTCCCTCCCGGTAAGTGGCCAATAGCTTGGCCGCTACCTCTAAGCTATCTGCGATAGTACGGCACTCAAAATCGATCACAGTCCCTCTGCTGTCTGCGGTTCCGTTGAGAATTCAAAACAGTGTTTGTAAAGCTCGCACTTGGACTGTGATAATGGTCCAAGGAAGGAGTATGCCTTGTCTCCCCACCACGAAGCGAAAGGCTGCAGCCTTGCAATCTACTGTGCAGGCAGTCAGTGCATATAGCAAAAGGCTAAGGCCTGGAGGTGGAAGACAAAATACATATTCTGGAATCAACATCATCTTCCATCTTCCTCACCATTCCACCAGCATTTTACACACCCTGCCAGTACTAGGCGAACAGCAGAACAATCGTTCTGCTGTTCTCTTCCGATTATCGCTTCCCATGGCGGAAAACGGTGCGCTTGCGAAGACAAACACTTTAGATGGAGGTTGCCTTCTTCTGGAGCGCATATACAATGCAAATGCAAGAACGCAAATACTTATATACGTATGAGCAACCAAGCATGCATCCATACGTGTACACACACAAGCCGCACATTCTGAGAAGGGATGCGGAGCTACTCGCCTCTGGCTACCTGCGGTGCACCAAGATAGATCGTGGGAACCAACTTCAGCGCAGGTTTGTATACACCAAAATGTAGAAAAGCCTGCCAGCTCAGTACTTCTATCATTACTTGTGGGTTGTACTCAGGTGCATCAGGTGTGTGCCGTACGTGAATTTTGCACGTTCCGTCTTGCACATCCTGTAGCAGTTGCTCAAGTGCCTCAGTCGGGCTGAGATGCTCCAGCGAGCCTTCCTTGGTAGATCCCTGACACTCAATGAGCTCGCCACAGTCGTCCACGCAGCACTTGGCCGTCAGAGAAAAGTCCACATCTGTAGTCGAGTAGCATCGCCAGGCCTCCCCTTCAGACGCGTTGCTGCCAACCCCACGGCGGGCAACCGCAGTGGTGCAGAAATGAGGATTATCCTCGCAAGCGCGAGCAAATGTCTCCAAGCATAAGCTGTCAATAAACCTTTGAAGAGCACTTGAAGCTGCGGGAATCTGAAAAACAGGAAGCAGTAGGACAACGGAACTGCAGGCGTGCCAGCGTGCAGAAGCGACTCAGAAGCCGGTATCCCCACATCTCGAGACCCTGCAATTTGGAACCTTTCCCCTACAGCAACACTTAGGAGGCAAGCCCATTCTAATGACAAGCCCCTGGCGCGCTACTTAAGGAGCGGTGTTCACCTCACCTCATCTGCTTCTACGCCTGCACAGAAAACACGCAGAAATGCATTTATTTTAACACCTATCTGAAGAGCTGATGATATTAAGGAGAAATAACGACAGAAAAATAGGTGCCAAAAAGCAGAGCAATGCAATCACGAAGGTACGTACCCTCGATGAGCCCTCCGTCGTGAATACCCAGTGTCAATAGGGCAGGCACAACGAGGCAAATTGCCGAAAGCTTCATTCTCGTAGCGTCTAGGGGAGGAAATAAAAGGAAACAAATTAGGGAAAATAAGCTCTGTGGGAAGGATGTGAAGCGTTCCTCCACAACACTCGATTCGCTTCCTGATCAGAACTAGCCAGCAACGCTCCGAAACGCAGCCGGCCCGTTCCCGAACCTCTGTGCAGGAAAGAAGATGTGGAGTTTGGGTTTTAAATTCATTCGCTGGGATTTGGGGAATGAGCTGAAAGATAATTCAAACGTAACCCTCTGAACAAAGTCCGCAGTGGTCTCGTAACTGGCGCTATTGCTTTGCGGCCGAGATATGGGCTAGCGAAGTGACACCTTTTTGTGGCCGTTGTCTCTTTGGGTAATGAGGAGTTTCTGTGGTTTCGGTGGTTTTCTATTTGCTGGTTGTTACTATTAGTACTGGTCGGGCTAGTGCAACTGTGCCTGTGGCATCCTGCCCCAGACCCCTTGCTACTTCCTTTGGCGGCAACTCCTCTACAGGCGGGTTCGAAGTATGGATGTTCTTTTCTGCTTTTCAACAAACGAAGAGAAGTGTAGAAAAGTGCAGTGTGAGGGTGAAACCGCCCGTAAACGTTGGTTGAACCTTCGTCTTCTAAAGTGTCCCGTGACGTGCCCTAGCGTGCTTATCGTGTGCCTTTATGGAATTATTACAGAGTTACCGTTTCGACTGACTACCCCTCCAGTTTCTTGCACGTTATTTGCGCTTGATGGGTCCTAAGGCTGCAGAGTACAGATTGAGTGGGTACAGTGCTGGGTGTCCGTGCGCCGACCGTGAAACTGTTGAGGCGCACTACAATATTTGGAGCCAACAATGAAACGCTTTCTCACCCCTTAACTTATAAACGTTGCATAATAAAGGTGTATTTATAGTAGACATCCCCACAACGACAGTTTTCACTTCGGAACACCCAGTTTTCGTACCATCGAGCGAAAGCAGGTCGATTGGGCCTGCTCGCCAACAGATAAGGGGTAATTTTAGACGCCTTTTCATCATTGAAATGCAGGCTTGATATCTACAACAAAATCTCAATTTACGTCTTGTTTTCCTAGCACCCCCGCCTGGCTAGCTCCGCGCTTGTGGTGCGAGGTCGCATCGAGGTGAATAGCTTTCATTGCTAAAGGCAACCAATCTCTTCCCATAATCATCTTACATTACTTCCTATTAATTCAGGTTCATTCATCACTTCATCAATCTTCCAGGAATGAGGGTTCTGCCTTCGGCTTTAAGCATCGTTGCCTGGGCCACCATTCAGGCGTCCGAAGCAATCGGCCTGGAGAGGAGTTTCCTAAGTAGGTCTCTCCATGCTTTCTCCTTATGGGATAAGTAGAAAGCTAAGGATGACACTGTTACACCTGCTTTGATTTTCTTTTATCCTCTGGGCTGCTCCTGTGTGTGCGCAGGCCTCTCCGCTCACGCAGTAAGCGGCTGGTATTTGTTGTCTGAGATGCTTCAAAGGAATGACAAATTTCTGCTGCTCCACGTGGGGGGTGTCTGGGTATTTGGATAGAGAGTAATTCGAGGACCGTGATTTCAGGCTTCACGCCTTCCGCTGGCCCAATCAGTGAATGGTGGATTGTAGTGTGGATTGCTGTGTCTTCTGCAGGAGGCTTCGGCTCAGGAGACGGCGACTCGTGAATCTCTGCAGGATGCTCTGGACGACTTTTGCCTCGTCGAAGCCGAGGCTGCTTGTAAGAGCGGCTTGAGCCACTACTGTAATATGCCTGTATATGCGAGATACGACGGAAGAAGTAACAATGTTAACAGCAAAGAATGGCGCTGTTACACTGAGGACGCGCTTAACTTTGAAGTCGCTCGCGCAAGTTGCGTTGACACTTGTGGCAAACTGAAAATGTGTCTTGGCGCATACGGAGGCTCATCGGCATCTTATTTATCACGCCATGGCAAGTTGTCCAGCCAGCTGGACGAATTGAAGCCCAAATATTGTAGTGCCCCTGCGCCCACGCTTCAGGAAGCTTTGGACAGAAAGTGCGCTGGGTTTGGCGAAGAAGCATGCAAGCAAGGACTATGGGCATACTGCAACGTTACAATGTACGCGCGTTACGACGTCGGAACCGCATCACAGAAGGCGCGGGAGTGGCGTTGCTATGCACAGGATGCGCTTGACTTCGATATCTCTGGCAGTGGCTGTGTGGACGACTGTGGGAACTTCACATCGTGCCGTGGTGCGGTGAATGGCACTTCGTCTACACACCTGTCCCGTGTAGGCCAGCTCACGGACTTCATGAACAGCAACAGAGATTTCTACTGCCTTTCGTCGACGGAGGAAGCGCCTGTTGAATCCGAAGACGTGGACTCCGCTGAAGCGTCTGAGTCAACAACGCTGTCATCCAATCCCACCTCCAACCTCCAGTCAGCCTTGGACAAGGTTTGCGCTGAGGAGGGAAAGAAAGCCTGCGAACAAGGGCTGAAAGCCTACTGCGACGCTGAT